GCATAGTGCCTCAGTGTTTCTACAGTATGACATGCTCCAGTTAAATGCACCATGGAAGTCAAGAGTGTGTCTCAGAGAAATGCCAGCTCTCAAATGTCAGTCTGCTGCCGCCGAGGGAAACGTCCACGCAGAGGCCTGAAGCTTCGATACCGTTTCCACAAACATGTTCAGAAACGCTTTGTCCTCTTTTGAAAAGCTGAAGTATCTACACAATAGCTTCAGTGTCATGACATTTTCTGTTTCCTCTCACGGAAACTGAGTATGTTTATACTTCTCAGAGACTTAAAAAATAAACAATGGTTTATTCTGTTGTGAAAGTAGCGTCAGACTGCGTGAAATCTAGTACATTTTGAATTCATTGTAAACATTAAGAGTGGGATAATTTGTTCATTTTCAAAATGTAATGCACATAATTCTGTATCAGCAGCTCCAATCATCCTCATTATTCATCAAAGAATCAATATCAAAATATACAGTCTAGGTCGTGAGCATTTGGACAGTAAAACATTTTTTTGTTGTTCCAGTTCTGTGCTTCAGCAAATTAATTTTGAATTAAAATCCTACATTAAAGTGCCAAGTATTGGCTTCAATTTGAGCAGGTTTTCACCAATACAGAAAGAACTGTGTGAGAGGATTTTACATTTTAACACATAGTGCCCGAAGTTCAGGCTTTCTAAAGTAAGACACACATGAAGTTGAACAAAATCATAATTTTTAATATTTTGTTGGAAATTTCTTTGCGGTCAATGACTGCCTGAAGTCTTTGACCAAGAGACATCAGCAGGCACTTTGTATCTTCCCTGGTGATGAATTGATGAATTCTTAATTTTTTTTTTTGTTAACTCATCGATATGATCCTTAAAGTTTGTCTAAATATGTTGGTTTATTTTTTAAGTTTCTACCAGTTGAAGTACCTCTAACCTTATATTACTCCTTATTTGAGCCTCATATTACTGTAATGTTATATGGTGCAATGCTTTTCCCAGTTGTACTGAGAAACTACAGATTTTACAGAAGAAAGTCATACGTGGTGAATCATGGTGCAAAGTAAATGCTCCCACTGACCCTCTTTTCTAAATGTATTTGTACATGCAATGTCTGGGCCCCTTTTTCAGCACCCTGATAAGCCTCTGGAGCTTATCATGGTGTCGCATATTCACCCATTCCTATTACGTTTTTGATGATTTTACTTGTAAGTATAATAAATGATGCTCTCTCAGGTCTTAGCTGCAGCCACCTTCAGCTGTTGCTTGCTGTGGGGTCTCTCTGCCTTTAGTCTCGTCTACACCAAGTCGAAGATATTCCGCCTGTTTGCATACCCAGGCCATACCAGCACCATGTTTGACAGATGAGGTGGTGGCTTTGGATCATGAGCTGTTCCCTTTTTCCTTCACCCTTTCTTCTCTCCTTCATTTTGTTTCATCAGCCCATGAGAACTCCAGAACTTTCTTTTTGTGTGTTTTTGTACACTGCTACCAGGCCTTTCCGTTTTTGTGGTTTGCACCTTGTGGTGAAACCTCTGAGGTTTTCGATCGTGACGTCTTGATTGTTGACAGAGGAAACGTGTCCACCTACATCCTGGAGAGCATTGTTGACTTGCTGTGCGGTCATGCAAATCGTTTTCTGCTCACCCGCAAGACTCCTGCTCCTCAGTCGACCAGCTCGTTTGCCATTTTCTAGTTTTCCCGTGGACACCTGCTTTTTTTTTAGAAAGTACCCAACTGTTGATTTTGACAAACCAACAACTTTCGATATCTCTCGGATATTTTTGACTTTTTTGTGCCTCATTATTATCTTCTTCCCTTACATGTTCACTTCATTACTCCTCTTATTAACAGACAGCTCCCACTCAGTTAAAAAGCCAAATCTCAGTCCTCTATGAGCCACATGTGAGCTCATTTATGCACAAACTAACGCTAAAACAACACACAGCGGCCCAAGAAACATCCAGTCGCCAAGTGTCCAATTACTTTTCAACCATAGCAATTTTGGCACTATGTGGTAAAAGGTTGTATCTCCCTCATATTTCTGTCTATATTGATGTAAACCTTCTCAAGTTTAAGTTAAGACTCATCACTTTAAGGTAGTATTAATTATTATTTCTTTTATTTGAGATAGAATATGTTAAAGCACATATGTATGAGGAAGAAGAAATGTGTAACTGTACAAATACCTACAGTCTGGACTGTAGAGCTACAGTTTAATAGATAGTCTGTGAACTTGTGAACTTCGAGTGGAGGGACTCAAATGAAATCCTACACAAAGAAAACCTGTCAGTCACATCATTCATCATTAAAGGCGATGAAACAGATCAAAGAGCAAGATCAACTGAGCTTTTCAACTTTGAACAGGCGCTGCAGGTATGGTATTGCTTCCCACTGTCCATGCCACCTAGTCATAGCACAAAGGGAGAGAGGAGCCTGACAAGTGAGCGTATGACAGAAGATTATGTTGAGTTCAAAGGTCACATTTTTTCAATGCGTAAAACCTTCAAAATACCTTTTTATTGCTGTCTGAGAGAAAGTGAACGCTCTAGTTTAATGCCGTAGATCGGAGGTCCTCATTGCTTTTAAAATATGCAAAGAAGTACATGCTAACATTAACCACTGCCTACATTATTTATCCTCCTGAAAAGTGTTTTATCAGCACTAAGCCTGCTTTACTTTATTTTTGAATATTCAAATTAGGGCGGAACTGAAATATCGACCGTGCAAAAAGGGCTCTTTTTTTTTTTTTTTTACATTTGGTTTTAAAATTAAGCTCACAATTCTCATATGTTTGGTTAAAGATGGTTTGTTTTATTGTAAATTCTGTAGAGCTGCAATTTTTAAAGGAATTGCCGAAGGCTTAGCTATCTACAATGATCAATATTTTTTCCATGTGGCTCGCATGCAGTCAGGAGGCCATGAGTGTTCAGCTTCTGCTCAGAATGAATCCAGTGACATGTTCAGTTTTGACTGAAGCTTTTGAACATAAGCTCAAACTAATGTCTACTGACAAAATAAAACGCATTTTCTTTCCTGTTGTAGCATCGTAATATAAAGACGGTAATATAATAATGTGAATTCCAAAATTACTGTGTGATGCAAGGGGCGCTTCACTGTATTTCTTAAGTTTAGTTCCACTTTGAGCAATTACTTCAGACTGTTTGTTAGACCTGTGAGTGAACTCGTAATAAATGTACTAACAGCAGTGTATCATGATGTTTGAAAAAAAAACATGTTTATCACAGTAACACCATAAGGTCACAAACTAACAGATTAATCTCTCTCAAGTCACTTTGTGTCCATTTCTTAGTTTTTGCTGGTTGATACTTTCCCTGATGTGGACGTTATTTACATGGCAGGAGGTTTTAGAGGGAGAGGGAAAAGCTTTTACTGTGGTTTACATTGGCCATGTATCATTGGTCTTACTAAAAACCAAAGAGCTGTTCCTCGCTTTTTAGCACCCCCTCCCACCCCCAGCTCTTTATTCCCTAACACCCATCACAAATTTGGTCTGGTATGTGACTGCTAATTTATCCTTTCAATGTATGATATCCTGTCATCTCCTCATTTGTCCCTGAGTGTTTCTAATCTGAGATAATCCCAGTCAAATCCTTTGATTGTGTGTTTGGACCTGATCCATCTCTGAAGAAGCAATTTAATGGGCTTCATGGCACTTGGTGTAAAGTCATTTATCTAGTGGATTGGATGTGAATGCTTGTTTTAATAAGTGCTCTTCATGAATAGTAGGAGACGTGCCATTTAATTAGGCAGAGTATAGACCTATTCCATCCACACAACTTCTCCAAGATTTTTTTTTTTATTATTTGGAGCTGAGTGCTTTGATAGAGACGGTTTGGACCTTCAGATTTTGCATCTGTATAAAGAAAAACCTGCAAATTCACATGGTTTAAAAAGAGTAGTTATAGGACTATGTAACCAATGAACACACACTGACAATGATAGAAACATTTCCCTCACACAAAAATCAGAAACTTTGATACATTACATTTATTGATAACAAAGCAAAGCAGAGCAATTTTTGACCAAATTTATGACAGTCCTATAGGAAGAGACAAAAATAGACACAGCAGGGTCAGATTAGGCAGCTAAACAAACCAACTGCTATTGTTCTGGTACCAAATGCCAGATACACAGGTACGTAGTTCTCAGTGATAACTTGAAATTCATAGATATTTTTGAACCAGCAGGTTTGATTTCACCCAGAGATAAATAAAAGCTGGCTTCTCCTAGGACGCCAAGGACTGTCAATTTTACTGGCTGAAGTGACAGCTGTCGTGGGCAGATATGATGAGCAATAATTAACTCGTGTTAGCTAATGACCTACAGCTAACATAAAAAAAAAAATCAAAAAAGCATTTCACTGTAAAGTACATTGTAACTTTGCTTTTGAAAGTGCTGTGGTGTACAGACAAAGTACAGGATTGAGCACTGCTTATTTTTAGTTGATTTATTTATTTAAATTGATTGATTGCAGGTCGTAAAAGTCGTTTTTTTTTTTTGCCCTAGTTGTGAGACAGAGGACAGTTCTGACAGAAACATAGACTAGTAGGGAATCAAATAAATGCCACAAGTGTTGCTGGGGAACTTTCAATCAATATTTGTGCTGAGATGATGTGCAGAAAGATGTGTGGGGGGAAATTCCAAAATCTGTTAGTCATTTCCCAGTAGTGAGCGTGCATGATGGTTTGTTGCAACACATCGTTGTTTTTAGGAAAGTAGTGTTTTCCGTCACATGCTACCTCTTCAACTTTAAACCATTTTTCATGTTACTGAAATTTAAAAAAAACTCTTCCTCTGTGGTGTTTAATGATTGTCACTTTCTCACCCACAACATCTATTTTTAGACAGTCTTGATGAAGAATACACGAAAGCTCACTGCCAAGCTTCTCTTGTTTTTTTTGTTTTTTTCACTTTTTGGCTTCCTGCTCTGACGTGCCCCAGAGTGCAGCTGTGATTGGCTGCTCACTTTCACAACTTCCGCACAAACAGAAACACAGAGAGATCAGCTGACAGAGAATACAGTAATAGGAAACGCAGATAGAATACAGAAAGTTGTGCATTTCAGTTTTGACAGGTTAATTCGTCTCTAAATGTTTATGTAACTCGTGCGAGAGAAAACAGAGGAATGTGAACAGGAAGTGAAGGAAACTGCTGGTATCTGGAAGCACTCAGTAGTGTGTGGAAGAAGTCGTCTCTCAGCCACAGCAAAAGAGTGAAACATGAGCAGTGAGTACCAACCACTGTCTTCAGCAGAATCATGCAGAAGTTTATTCATAGGTAAGTATGTTGTCCTAGAGACTTGCTATTTCACGATGCTGTAAATCACACTTTGGAATCGATTTGTTCATATGTGAATAGTAGAAATTATTTTCTTATCTGGACATGTCCACTGTCTCTGGCACCCAGATGTTGCCGCACTGACACCAGGGCCTGCAACTGCCAAACGTCTTCCACTCCCTCCAGGGAGTTGTGTTGAAAGTTACTGCGACTGAAAACATTCCTACCTCAGAGTAGACCTTTGAGAGTTGTTTACAAATCCTACACTGAGTCTCAGCAGGAGAAGGATTACTCCTGGGAGGGAGAGGATCGTTGCTGTTTTACAACATACTGTAAAAGTTATCCTGTCATAAAACAATCAAATCATATCACACTGCAGTTCTATGCAAAGGTTTGAAAAGAAGTAAATGCAGCCTTTGCAGAAAGCAGACATAAAAAAAACAAAACAATTAGCCTTTATGCAAATAAATGAAAGAAAATAAACAGTAAATATTAACAGTAATTGTGGCATGTACAAAAGTTTACTAAATACCAAAGGTGGCATATCTTTGAATTTTAAATATGCTTAGTGTTACACCTATCCTGGTCTCTAATACACTCAGATACCTGTCAATACTCAGGACCACGTTTTAACCATTTAATGAACTGCTCAATAACTAGTTTGAATCTTGTATATATTTAACTATACGTACTATATTTAACAATAAGCCATTTGCATTGTAAGCTGTAAGTAAACATGCACATACATTATAGTACGTACAATTTAAAACAGCAGGTAACTACGCTCAGTCCTCACGTTGTTCTATAATATCTGTAATAGTGCTTCATGTAAGACATAATGTGCAGTATTGCATGCACAGCAGTGATGTTGCAGACCCTCTGTGGGCTGTGGAGCCTCTCTCTCCGTGGAGTACACAGCGTCTTGTCTTCCAGTCCCGCTCTCACTGACACTTGTTAAAGGGCCACTCCACTGATTTTACCCGTCGAGTTCAGTTGACTTGTCACAGAGAGCAATCCCCCGCCTGTGAAAACACTTAAGTCTATGTAATATCTTCTGTGGCTCCTGAGGGAGATCTGAGAAGGTCTGAATAAAATAACCCTGGTGATGTCATGATGATGTAATTCTTGAGTTATATTAAGGGAAATGAAAAGATCTTGTGTAATTGGAGCTTTACCCAAACCTGGGCCTAACAGTCCGGTTATCTCCGCCTCTGCTGCTTTGATTTTGACCATTGACGTTTTTTAAAATCTGTCTCTCTGATGTCGCCCGACTGTATGGAGGCGAAATGCTAAATTGATGGACCGCTCCTTTAACTTATGTGCTCCCACAGCTGGGGGAAATATTAATTATCTCTGTGCTGCTCCCATGTCTTGGGGAAATACACTATAAAAATATGAACATGTCTCTCAAATATTACAGATAGTGATTTTCAGTAAATAACCGATCATTTGCATGAATGCGGCTTGTGGAAATGAACGAATCTGTGCATTATCTGATGCCCTATATGAGCTGTCAAAGTTTGATTCATGTCTGTTTTAACTGTGGTCGACACAAACCCAAATCATCACTGTTGCAAAGGGTATTGTCCCTACCGCATTACGGTTTCCAGGACCTCAGTTTTTGTGGAGAGAATGTTCTCTTTTAAGTCTTAGTCACAAAAACTGATGATTTCTTTTTGTTTTGTCTAAACTATCTTTTAATAACCTGCAGAGTTTTGGACACACAGCATCAGCCTGTGTTCTGTATTCTGAGACACTTGATAAATATGGGGCCAGACACAGGAGGTAAACCGTTGTCCTTTTATTTGTTTTTCCCTCGTTGTTTCATATCAGTTAAAAGATCAAGAGAAATGTTGTGGATGAAGAGAAACTTGTTTTTATGCTTTGAGAGAGTTTTGGGTCAGGGAAAAGGTGCGCCTCAGCACCGGGCAGATGTCTCTAATATCCAGTGATATCAGTCCTCATCATCTCTGTCATCTCATTTTGTGACTCGGTTATAAACAGAGAAATAAAAGGCGAATTATAGTGTACAACACTAATCCCTGCTTCCATCTAGAGGTGCTCTAGGCCTGTGCTTGGAAGTCGTGACGGCCGTGGTGTTAGTTTACCAGTCCCCCAACCCCCACCCAGCCCCACCCCCCATTGTAGCCAGATGGCTGTCACACAGGCGGTTCCTCGCCCAGACCATGCTGGTTTCCCATCATTCTTTTGTTAATGAGGTCGTTAGCAATGCAACAGACAATTAAATTATCCCAATCTGGCATTTTCCCTCATTGGCATACTGTATAAAATACTGTACAGTGTTTCAAACTCATCAAATAGCATTGCTCAGTTTGACTGCTTCTGTTGAGATGATGGCTTCTTCCCTTTTATCATTTTGTTCCTTATTATCCGCGGCAGTGGTACTGTGCAGCAGTGAAAGTGAAAGCCATTTTCAGACAGTCAAGTAGGATAAACAGAGCTCTTGACAGAGTTGGTGTTGGTATTCTCCTCTGTGATAGCAGGAGATCAGTGTCTCCAACTGACAAACTTTGTTTTAGTACATCGTCACCCTGTATGGAAACAACACAGCCCGGAGCTGCTGCTGCACAGAGGAAGTTTTGTTAGCTGTTAAATCGTGTAGAGAGGGTGACTTCAGCCAGTTAGTCGAGCGCTCACCTTCATGTGAAACGCTGCCGAACACTGACACCGCTGACAGTTAATTATGGGAGTCACAGATCATGCAGACTTGTCAGCTTGGCTACGATTGACATGCCGCATGTTTACATCTCTGTTGTAATGTTGTTTTCTAGTTATTTTCACAGCAGCGGTGCAGCCGTTATTTAGCTCCAGAAGTGCCTTGGGGCTTGCCATAATGACCGTAAAAGCAGTACAGATTCGGAGGAATGAAATGTTAAAAATGACTTGTGGGTATAATTGGTGAAGCTGCCATCACAGTGACTTTGGAAATATTTTCGGTCAGGCTGTTGAAACACACAGACAGCCTGTTAGCTAGACTGTCATAGTCTATAGGTATGTCTCCGCATGGCTTCATTATTTTCCTCAAACTCCTCCACACACACAAAAGTTATTTTGACAATGAGTGAAAACCAACTAAATCTGATATATTGTTAGACAGGCAGACGGAAAAGCAAGCAAACATAGAAATTTTGACACACACTAGTATTAGGGGAGTGCCTCACTTGAATGATTTCCATTTCTAGGCCAGGTGGTTGGTGACAGTAACAGGGTGGTAAAGCAAATGGCAGCCAGACAGCACACATTTATCTGAAAATTCCTGATTTTTAACTTCACCAAAATGAGTGTCGGGAAAAAAAAGTTCATCTGGTGTCTCTGTTTTACAGCTTGTCTCAGAGATATTAATGCAAGCAGAGATATATGCCTGGTCAGTAATAAAATCTGCTTACACAGATTCTGATGGGTTACATTAAAAACCAAACCCTCTGATTAAAAGATTTTTCAGCTCAAGATAGATTTACACCTGAAGCAATGCGTTTCAACGAGAACCCCCAAAGAGATGGGAGCTTCTGAGGCAGCAGTTTATCCTCCACTCAGGCGAGTGCATGCATGACAGCTAGCCCTCACTGTGTTTTTATGGGATGAAACCAACAGAATCTGGCTCCCAGCTACTGTCCAATATTTAGCGTCAAAGCTCCAGTTTGGGGAATCATCACTGACGAGGATATTGGTGAAGTTTGCTGAGATGCTGGTTGCAGCACAATGGAACATAACACAATTAAAGGATCTCGTGGCTAACCCCAGCCTTCGGCTAGCAGCTAGCACATGATGTTTTCCACTGTTTAGCTTTTATGTCCACTCCTACTTGAACCAGGACGGATCATTTTTACTGTTTGACTGACTTAAGTTCAACGCAGCTGTGGTAAGTTTTGATGCTACCATAACGATGGCCCAGTCCCATTCCACCCTCCCACTCCGTGATGGAGAGTAACTCTCTGCGGAGTTGCACTCGCAGCTGTGGAGGGTCTCTAAATTAAGGGGGCAGGTACAAATACAGCAGCAAGCTTTGGGAAGTCCTCACCTTTTTCCAACAGCAACAGGAAATTCATTGTTACCCAAAATATTTCAGAAAGGATATTATGAGTATAATTAAATAAATATTTATCCAAAACAAGATCTTATACACAGCATCAACAGATATGTAGGTGTACGGGCAATGACATGGCACATTACATTCATGGCATAATAAAGTTGAAGGGAAAAGTTATTAATTGAATAAATAAAAACTACTCATATATACTAGTAATAAAAACTCTTTGACTGAGTTTCTATTTTGTAAAACATTTTTGTTTCCCATTTTAATCTAATTATATCCTTGTTTTTTTCCATAGTTCCTGAAATTATAATCAAGTCAAATAAAAGAGAAAAAAAAACATACATCATATTCTTGGATAAACAATGGCATGTTCGTTCCAAATTAGAACATAACCTCTAATTTCATCATGTGCACAAAAGAAAAATAGTCCATGAAATGTCTGTTTGAGGTGAGGCAACTTATGGCTTATCCTTTGAGAGTAACTGCATGGAACACTTGCATTTCCTGCGCCCCAGACTCTAAAGAGATGCTTGCACTTCTCTACGAGTGTGGTTTGTAAGCCTGCATCGATGCGGACTCGTTGTTGGAGCGCTTTATAACCCACTCCCACTTAAGGGTAATTGGTTTGGAATGACACTTAATCTGGCGGAGCCTCCACACGAGCACACGAACGGAGTGAGAGTGGGTGGGAGGTGGGTGGGTTGGTGTAGGGGCCAGATTGGAATTGGGCCAATGTGTTGTCGTTAACAATTAACGACTCCTGATCCTTCTTTTCACCCTACTGCCAAAACACAATTTTACATCAAGTTAGGCTTAACACATTTTACAAAATCCTGTTTGGATTGTATGTGCTAATTATAGAGAAATGTTGAAATATCCAACAAAAAAAACAAAAAAACTGGTGGAAAATGAAGAAATTAAAATAGTCATGTTAGTGTGAGTGTACATATCTACGTGTTAGACTGATGACATGCCAAGAAAGTATCCTGCCTGTGGCCCAATGCATACTGGGAAGGTATGATGGTATGTGGCACTTGAAGCTACACTATTTAATATTTTTGACAAAAACAGAGTTAAAGGCGAGTGAATATGGTGGATATTCTCCAGGTAGCCAACCGAATGCTAACATCGCTAATCGTGTTGATAGACAACTGTTTGGTAACGTGTTACCTTAACAACAGCTGCCCTCATAGTGGTTGGAAAATAATCTATTAATGCAGCTTTAATGTTTTGTTCTTTTCTTACTACTACTACAAATTCTCACGCCACATATTATAGCTTGTCTTTATCATAATTCAAATTCTTTCAGTTTCATTTATGTGGTCACAGGTCTGTCATCAGAAAATGATGCTATCGGGGATCACTGGAGAGTAGTAGTAGTTTGTTTACATGCCTTTTGGATATGAAACTGCTTAATGGAAGTTGTAGTCCAGTATTGTATCTTTGAGCTGCTCTCACTGAACAACTAAGCATCGCAGTAAAGTCAAACTTACACCGCAGTCCACGAATGCACATTTAAATGACAGAGTCAGATGCTTTCCACTAAAATAACCAAGCGCTCCAGATTATAAAAGCCATAAAACAGATTGGCCCATTTATGATTGCTATGTGGATGACACAGGAGGACAGCGTTTACTTTATCATCTCTTTGAGTCATAATAGATGTATTTTTCTTTATTGCATTTATCTTACCAAGAACAATTCAAAATTACAATGTAAGCCATCAGGTGATTTGATAAAGGTTTGCCAATTTATTCTTCAGACAGTTCCTAGTTGCTTCATTTCATGATTTCTGAGATGTCTGCTGAACAAAATACATCATTTTGCTCTGAAGTAACAAAATGACACACGACATTGGACACAACTCAAATAATGGCAGGGTTATCAACAGAAACATACCAAATAATGAACATGATTCAGTCAGGCAATAATAATAACCGAATAGATCCTGAATTTTATTTCACATTATCAGTCTCACATCATCTGCACTGTTGTATTTATTGTCTTGTCAAGAATGTCAACCTGTTACAATTACATTTAAAGCCCAGATTCACTTTGCCACGCTCCCACTGGGAACAAAATAAAAGTCTAATGCTCGAGGGAGCTGTGCGGTGTGGGTTGAACGCTGTAATAGGAAATAACTTACATTCTTCCTCTAAAGAAAATACAATGATACTACGATCAATTCTGAGTCAGTTAACTATTTCCTCACTGACAACAAATCTTAATGTGACCCTCTGGGATGAGCCTTTGATGTGATGTGAAATCAGCACTAAACCATTTCTAACCTCTATCTTCTCCTCTTCTTCTGCAGAGACACCGGAGTGCTTTATATGCAGGGATGTTGAACTTAAAGCCAGTGACCCACTGAGGAATTTCTGCGACTGCAAGAATTTACTTGCCCATCACGTGTGTCTATCCACATGGATCCAGAGGGTAAGAAAGACTTTCCATGTAGGGAACCTTGATATTTTGAATTTATAGCGTTTTTTTTCCTCATCAGCAATTTGTCAAAATGTGGAAGGGGGGGAAATGTCTGTGTTGGATTTCGAACGGTGAATAAATGTGTTTGCCATGTGATCGTTCCTTATTGAGACAAAACGTTGCTGTTTGCCTCAAGGTATTGAGCTACCTTTCAAATGGCAATACCAATTAGTCTTAATGAGGGTTGCTAGCAATGATAACACGTCATCGTTACACAGTTGAAACAAAGAGGCTGAAACTGTGAGAAGTGCCTCGTGGTGGACTGGCGGGAATCCAGAAAGCTATCATGCACCTGACACCTGTCAATGTACTGCAGAATAACTCATTAACATCTGTAGGATCACTAATACAGTTCTCTCAGTTCATGAAATGTATGTTTCAGTGGGAGTTATGGATTTCTGTATGTGCAGTCATGGTGCTTATTGCTGCTCATGCTAATTACTCTTCCACCATTAATTCAAAGCAACTGCTGCTGCTGCCATAATAGTAAAAATATATAATCACTCCTGTATACCCAAGTATTTTCCCCAGAAATAAAAAGCAGAAGCCAAAAGTAAAGGGAGGAGGTGTGTTCATATGGAAATGTAAATTAAACTGCAGATTTTATTTGTCACATAACAAACTTCCTCCGTACGGACAGATGATATATGAATGCACTTTTCTTTTTTACATAATGTAATCACTGTTCAGCTGCCTTAAAGGGCATCATAACAGTCACATTATGATACTACAAGCAATGGCTGTAAGCACTGAGTATCATATCATACAATATGCCAAAAGTTAAAGCTGCACTAACTAATTGTTTTCTACGAATGACGAATCAAACGACTGCGTGACGTGAAAAGAGTCATTACCTTTATCCCTTTACTCTTTTCCTGTCGGCCTTGTTTAAGCCACAGCTAAGAGGTGTTTTGGAGGCTGACAGAGTTATGACCAGCTGGTGAATATAGTGAAGCATTTAGCAGCTAAAGAGCAGGACATTTCCCTCAGGAGTTGGTTGAGACCAAAACAAAGTTAAAAGCAAAGTTAATATTTCACTGAGACTTGTCAGGTTGCTAGAAACATGACTCCACATTGATGCTCATGTGGCTTCATGTCTGCAGAAGCCACATCATATACAGTCATTCAAACATACAGAAGAAAAGAAAAGATTCATCTTTAATCTCTTCTGTGGTTCAACTGAACAAAAAAAACTATTAAAGGCAAAGTTAACCAATTTTACACATAGTCAGTTTACTTGCCATGTGAGGTACTACTCAGCCTGAGAAAACTGTCGTATAATATCATCTGTGTCTTTAGAGGAGCTTTGTCAAACCTCAGAAAAAAAAAACCCACCCTGGTGATGTCATCAGTTTAATCTGGGTTTGGTCTTTGAGACAAATTAATTAACACAAAAGCCAGTGTTGCAAACTGGCAAACATGGAGTTTCAAAACAGGGGCATTTACCAGACAAGGAGGGTCTAACAAAGAAACCGTCATGTTGCATTATGGGAAATGTAGGCTCTACTGTTAAGGGAGCTTGATCCCTTCCAGAGACTTGAGGTCAGGATATCTCAGAACCTGCTGCAGCAGTTTTTACTAGTATATTTTAAATCTCTATCTTGCGAGTCCGCCAGCTTTATGGAAGTGCAATACTAAATCGCTGGAGAACCGCTCTGACTAGAGAGCCAAAGAACAGATAAACTGAAAATTGCTTCAGGTTGTGTCACTTATGCACTTTTGGACTATACAATGTCTGCACTTATGGTTCTTCTGAATGCCAGCCTCTAACTGAAGTAAACATAGAGTGCAACTCTAAGTAATAACATCAGAATATACTTTATAGCAGCTGTACATTTCCAATGAAACATGAATGAGTTATCATCACTGTATATTAATCCAAGATAAACGTGCATCTGCTGCTGAAAATATCGCTGTTGTGCCGTCCACTCCTGTGAACGTGGATGCTCCACAAGTGGTAGACAACATGCTACAGCAGACCTTTCATCTGTACCACCCAGATGTCAGAGTGAAGAGCCACTTCCATTAAGTGTTTGTCTTCCCACTATACAATTATATACAGAGACAGACACACACACGCACACACATACACACACACACAGTGAGCCTCGCTCTCTACTGTGAGTGTGCGCTGATGCTACAAGACTACTTTAGTTTTTGTGTGCGAGAGAAGCAGATAGAGAGAAAGAGAGTGGGAGAGAGACAGCGTGCGACCTTTTAGAGTGCTCAGGGTAGGGAGCCCCTTTCCCTTTTACGGAACAGAAATCAGCAATTGACCTGTCACTTTTGCTCTGATAGCCATCTCTGGAAAGCAGGTCATGCACATATGTCTAAAGTGCCTCTTAACCGCATTTTATGAAGCCAGAAAATGTAATCCAATAATGATTTGACTTGTGAGAGAGAGCCAGCCAGCTGGGAGTGATAGCATGCACTGTTACCACCCATAAAAGCAGCTTGAACAAAAAAAAAAAAGGGCAAATTCCAAGTCCTTATTTAATTTCACCCACAACAGTATGACACAGATGTTGTCACTAAACAACAGCGCAGGCTGAATTCAAACACAACAAAACAGCGCTGGCATTAATTTCCACAACTGTTGATACGTACAGGACTTGAGTGTGTTTGCAGCAGAGGACTATCTGAATGATCATCATCTGCACTGAGACAAACCATACGCTATCTGTTTTTAGACCGCCTCATTTGTGCCCCCTCCCATCCCTCCCCATTCAGGTTCCCAAAGACAAATAGCATGGCACAAAACTAATTAGTAACCAGGAACTAGTTAGGAGATGCCCTTTGAAAAACATGTCCTGAGGCAGGATTTAAATATAGGGACAGAGTCAGTGACTGAGTGTGCCTAGGAGATCCCAGCCTCCAGGCGCGGCAGCACTTTGACCCCTGACCCTCATTATAGGGAGTGCATTCCTAGAGGGGTGAAACCCCTCACAGCACAAAGTACAAGGGCATGGGAGGACTGTATGGCTCGTACCGCACCAGCCGAGTGTGGCCTGGTGTGTCTCACTGCCCGATCCAACAACAGGCTTGAGAAAATACAGAGCAAGGGCGCAGGCTTTTGGAAAGTAATGGTATACAGTCACTAACTCAACAGATAAATACAATTTTTCATTTTTATACATCTGGTTTCACTCTATTGAAGTTAATGGGAGTGGTATTCTGCAAAAAAAAAATGCCCTTCAGGATTTGGGATCCCATCCATCTGAAATAGAATCCATTGTAGTTACAGGAAGGAAAAGAAGTTAGAAGAGGAGCACTGAAAATGCTAACAACATGCTAGTTGAACATAGCTTATATTCAGTAGAGAGTGAAGCATTGACCGAGATGTGAACAGATGAAGAACATAATGAGAGGATGGGTTTATGTTTCTCTCGTGATATATATGTGTGTTTGTGTGTGTGTTTATATCAGCAAGCATGCCCTTGACTGTGTGTGCTTGCCTATACATCCCTTTAATTGCGCACAGAAACACACACACACACACACGATTACCCTGTCTCTCTCTCATGGGTTGATAATTCTCATCATTGCAAACAGACTTGGTTTACATTCATTAGTTCAACACTCACAGCAATCAGGCCACAGTGCCAGGGGCAATGGTCCTCTTTATAAAATCACATTGCCTAATAGCGGTGTTCTATAATTATATGCCATTAACATCGATCAAAATGTGCTCCTACATGCCATGCATATTAGCAGCGGATTTGGCACTTAGTGTTTGTACAAATGCTTTTCTTGTTCTTCAGTTAGTTAGCACCAGCTTGAAGATTATTGCCGGCATGTTATTTTTATTTCAAGTGCTGTTCTGTCATGTGAAGTGGTGCAGTATATTTAGTGTATGCACTAAAACAACATCCAATCATGTATGTTTACCATGCAGTATCTACGGTGGCCCAGAGGTGCAAAAGATAACAGCACTACACAAAACACACAAACAAAATAGAAAACGCAATATGTTAGAAAACACAATGTGAAATGTTGTTGTGTTTTCTGTTTTGTCGTGCCTTCTGAAATTTTGCGTCATCTGTTTTGATGCGGATCCGTAAATGTTGTGTTATTGTGTTTTCTGAAATGAAATTTTACCCCGTTTTGTTTTGTTTTCAAAAATCTGGTTGTGTTTCTTATTTTTTAATTGTGTTTTGTCCAGTGTTGTCATGCTTCGCACCACGGGGCCACTGTGTGTTTAACATGTTTGTAACACTGTAATTAAATTAGCATTATTATGCACAATGCACCTTTGTGTTAAAAAATTAAATTGTGTTTTTCCAATCTAAGAAACATAATTAGTTTATTGATCAAAACACAACCCCATAGTTATCATTTAGCACTAAGTTCAGCTTTAGATCAGTTGTTTTGATGGTTCACTGTCACTAAATTACTTTAAATGTAATTTCCTTACAGGGATGTGGGAGTGAAGACAGGCTGCGATGCATCATCTGCAAAGCCAAGGTAAGTGTATTCATGTGTTTTGATAGGGGGTATTATAAAAATTCAATGAGATATTTGATGATGTCTCATTCTTTTAATCTTACTGTGTGAAATGTAGGTAGCGAGCATTTAAACAAACACCGTTTAAGTCATTAAACAGTGGCTGCATCTCACAAAGCAGATTTAAACAGAGCAGATCCATAATACTAATGAGCAATCAGGTCTTTGTTTTGCTCTGTGATTTAGCTGATTTGCCAGCAGTTGTGTTGCTTATGAGCTGTAAGCTGCCTTTTATTCCTTATTATTGCAGCAGAACACTCACTGTGAAAAAGGAGGGAGAAACATTACAATATTTGGCAAAGGATACAAGCCATGTAATGACAAAATCTGTATTCATTTCATGAGCAGAAATTAATCACGCTTTCCTGTGGTACATTCCTAATGCAAATTTTCCATCAACACATTGTGTCTGGTGTTTGTGAGTTTATTTGTATGAAGTGGTGGAGCTGATGTGTCATCACAGATGGGGTTGCATGCTGGATAAGGTGGCCGCATTACTAACCATCTCAGATTAGGAAGTATACTGTTGATGTGTTGTATGTATTCATGCTTGCGCCGTGGGTCAAAGCATCACAAGCTGTCTACTGAGTGTTTTATTCATTGTTTGCTCGACAGCGATGAGTTGAAAATGTGATCTTTGCTGCTGCTGCTCTTGGGTGTATGTATAGGAGGGATCCACTCTGTGGAAGAAAATGTCACAGTAACTCTGACAACGACCTTTTAGGATTTTAAGATATTTTAAACATGAAACACCCCCCCCCCCCCCCCACCCCCCCAAACACACACACACACACACATACATACACACACACACACACACACACACACACACACACACACACACACACACACACACACACAGAGAGAGGTTCACACACTAATGGAAGTTCAATGAAACATTTAGTCTGAGGGAAGTCTCCTCTGATTGTTTTTATTCATCTAGGAATTTGTGTTTGTCTCCATTTGGGGTCAAAGAACAATTTATCTTGAGTGTGATGTTGTTTTCTTTTATACGAGACAGCATGTCTCTATATTATATAAAGCTAGAGTTTGTTACCAAAAGGGTGATGATGATGATGTTGTTTTAGCGGTTAAAGTCAATCTGAACTTTGACTTCCTCTCAGTTTTTGTACAAGGAAATATAAACAATAATGATTGTGAATATAATTTCATTTTTGTAAAGTAGATAAAACCATATTTGGACATATTTGTTGAAGCAGCCTTTAAGATTGGGGTGGGGGCTTCCCTTAGCAGCAGCTGACTGACATTTGAGAGCCAGGGTTGCTAGGAGACATGCTTTCGTTGTGTGCACTGACTGGAGAACATCAGAATCATACATCCTCTGACAGTTGATACAAACCCACATAGCATCGTTAATCTGTGCTTTTACATCATCCAGTATTTGGGAGGACCCATCATGCTGTTTAGTTTGCATTCTGCTCAGTCAGTGGTAGGTATTTACCCTCTATAATTAGCTTATTAGCTTGCTATCTTATACTTTTTGACTGGTTAACCTAGCTTCCGCTAGTCAGCTAGGCTAGGCTAGTTAGCTTCCTCTTGGAAAGTGTACATTATTTAGCCTAGCTGTTTAGCATTAGCATTAAGTCATGTTAGCTTTCATTCATGTTATTTCAACACCTGCTGCGTCATTGCCAGCTCCCACACTCTCAGTGTTGCCTTGATCCTGCATTAGGATGGAGTTTAACTAGCATCAGCTGTTGCAACAAATTCACATCCTCTGGAGAACTCTAATGTGGGCGTTGTGATTGCATAAAAAATACTCAAATTTCTCCTTTTTAGTAATTACTATTTTGATCCACAATTAAAAACAAAACTCTCTGGGTTCTATTCTCATGAGCAAAAAGTAATTTTAATTTCAGTTCAGCATTAAAGGTCCCATAATGTACAAAGGTAGATTTCCATGTCTTTTATAAAGCAGGTCAGGGTTCTATATTAATACTGTGAAAGTATGAAAGTGCTCAGTCCACAGAGAAATGCACACAGCCTGTATTCATAAACTGAGCCTTAAAACCAGCTGTCAGGACCTTTGATGATGATCAGGACTTTGTGATGTCACAACAAAGCAGTCACGGCTCGCGACTATGCCCGAAGCCCAGCCCATCCGGACCCAGTGTTCCTCCTTGCAGGATTTGGACGCTAAGAACCTCCTCTCCTCTGATTGGCTCACTGAGCTGTTTCTAGAGCTCCAGAGAGAAACCTGAGAGAGGAGATGTAAAACTACACTGAGATGGTGTTTGGTTCTTAAAATCACAAATATATCTTCTTATGGATCAACACTTCAAATAAAACACTGGAAAAGTAAAATATGGGGCCTTTAGGCCCAAAACATCATGCATTGTTATAATGTATTAAATACTCTGCATTGACTCAGAGCTTAGATAATCTTTAATGATTCTGTGCTGTAGTTTACTGATTTTCTATACAAAATGAGGTTGCCATGATATATCAAGAGAGGCTGTGGAAACACTACCAGAAGCTGTCATGCTAACCTGCAGACTCTCTCCTGACTGTAATAATGTAAGTCAGTGTTTTTTTAAATGGAAGCCATTTTCATTTTTTTGTTTCCCTGCCAGTATTTGGCTGCAGGCAAACACATGTTTTAGGTGTTCCAACCATCCTTGCTCTTCTTGTACCCATGAGTGGTTATTTCTTGTACTTTTGCACTATCTCCAACTGACTGTTGCACTTGTCTTCGCCCATTATACCGATGGCATCATCATCAATTATTAATGGCGAGCAGTAAATGTCTTGAGAGACATCCCACTGTGAGACCAAACAGCCATGAACAGGGGTTAGTGGCAGCACTGGTGATTGCTGCGAGTGGCAGCTGTGCCATTTAGAGAATGATTGTTGGGAAGCTTCCACTGTATTGATATGAACTCTTCTACAGTAAGTTAATGTATCAGTATAATAACATTTTAATGTCTGCAGTGGCACAGCCATTTAATATTTGTCCACAGAGAGATGTATATGTAGATCAGCAATGACTGTAATGATGATAGTGATAATCATTTGGTCCTGCACTGCTATCTCTCTGTAATGCATTACTGCAATCACCCTTGGTTAACATTAAGAGGCTTTAGCCATTAAGACTTTGAGCAAACAGTGCTCATCATACGGTCTCCGGTTCAATGTTCATGTCATTTCATTTTCTAGCTTTTTGTTTTGTTCTTGTTGTTGATGCTGCTTTTTCTTGCATGTTGTTTTCCCTTTTTGCAACGGGGTCTCAAATGTGGGCCATTTGTATGAGTTATGCTAATTTGTTGGGGCAATGAATGCATTAATTTCATTAGCACATGGCCTCAAAGCAATAATTACCAGAGTAGGTGTGTCACAAGCAATCATGTTAAAATTTGCCAGTTAATTATTAAGATTTTGTTCTGAGGGACCTGGATTTGACATGAGTCGCCGAGGGAAAAAAAAAGAGAGGCGAAAGTTAATGCATTCCAGTGGCCGAGGCTAGGTGCTTGTTGTTGAACACTGTGGGGGCGGCTGTGGCATTGTGGGCCTACTGGCACGATTTTTGCATGTTGACAGCTCACATTCTGGACTAATTACCGCAAATAGCAAAGGGCTAGCTGGTGCTCGGTCAATCCAGGAGGGTGTAATTATAAAGAAAAGGAGGTCCAGAGCTGCCTAATGGCCTCTGCTCCCTTTGATTGGAGTCCGGTGGAGAAGATTTTGGTGGGGAGTGGTGAAGGAGGAAGAGATTCACAGCTGCCTTCCTTGGCCCTGATTAGCCCTTGTCCAACACAGAGCTGGGGTCAGGAGGACAGACCATGTGTCTAATGATGCACGCTTAATAAAAAATAGTGTTTCTTGGTACCAGGAGGGGTTTCTCACCTGATAACTGTAGGAGCCATTTTGGTATAATAGAGAACTGTTATTAAAAGAAATGGGTTGCCAGTGTTGTGCTACTTCACATCTACAGTAGTTCTCTGGTAGTACATTTTAATTTTAATTTCCTTTAATTTTCCTGAATATTAATTAATGCTGCAAATTAGAAAATGAGCTTGATTAGCAGTATACAGTAGAACAAGGAAATGACAAGTTCTGCTAATGTGGGTGTCTTGGATCTGTGGTGATGGGTCAAGCTCACAGGTCAAGTTTTGTATCAGTGACATTGTATGGCAAAAGGAGAGCACTCTAATGTGAATTGTTTCATTGCTTCAAAATGATAATGCATATCTGAAATGTCAAATTGCAAGTGATATGTTGCTGATAACCTTTGATACAAGTAGAAAAAAAATTTAGGCTCAAGTTGAAAACTAAAAGCAAAGATGCAGAGCATGTCAACCCATTTTAAGTTAACTTTCTATGTGCAGTGACTTCTCTGGTAGTTTGTCGTTTTCCATGGCAACCAAAAAAAGGTTGACGAACCATTTAGAAAAGTGGTTTTATCAGTGCATCTTCGATAAATACTGGAATTTCTGTTGCAAGCAAAAATGTTATTCTGAGTAGTCTCTGAGGTGGTGATGCAGTATAAAATTACCACACTGCAATTTCACAGTTTTAAAGTAAGGTATCATATAGGTGCCCCCAACTGCATGTACTCAGGGAATTTTTAAAGTGCAGACACGATACACACAGACACACACACACACAAATGTCTGTGTCTCCCAGATTTTCTTGTATAACCAAACCCTGGAGGGAGCACAGCCTCAAACTTTCATTATGCAGCAGGCATGTTATTAAACACACTGTCTTTTGAAAAGGATTTTGAAAACTATATTGCATCTAATTTGTCCCTAACAACTGAGTCACTGCATCTTTGCTGGTGTTTAGACACAATGTAAAAGCAAAGTAATGTATGACCCAGCATGAGTGTACCAAGGCGAGGGGAGGTGAGGGATGTGGATCATAATATGTCAGATTAAAAAAAAAAAAACTATACTACACCAAATGTAGAGTAAAGGCTATTGGTATTTGTATGTTGCAGC